CGAAGGATGGTGATGGGATACGGGAGCGTAGACTGAGCGGAAGTCTGTTGATTGGGTGCGTTGGACGCTTAAGAATTAAAATTCAAGCTCACTTGTAGCAACTCAGTAGATATATATAATTGTTTATTGAAACAAAGTTACACCAGTTTATAGCTCGGTTCAGTAAACTATTAGGCGTGATGCAGAGTAGAACGCAACGTTCGGTGGTGAATTCCGGTGTAGTCCGCGTGGTGCTTACAGACAGTGGTTTATAAAGGGGACAAAAGTGTGTCCTGTGCCGGAGGGGCAAATACTCATCAACAGGTGCGGGGGTTTACCGTAGGGTGACACACTTTCTTAGAGACGCGTGGGGTATTAGTATAATCGGATTTTTGTATAGCAATCTTCTTATCATTTTTATGGTTCAATATCCCCACAGTCTGGCTTGTAACATCTATAGCTTACTGACCCTTACAATATGTTGATGATTACAGGTATCTATTAATAATAACTAAAAATAACAAACACTACATACAGTCATACACAATTACATGTATGAAGGGTTTATATATGGCAAGAGGGTCCATATGCGACAGAACTACCGAGATCACCTCGAGCATTTGGATACTGTATTATCAAATTTAATTAAAGTAGGCTTCACCATCAATATGACAAAATGCAAGTTCGGGTAGCGCAAGGCCAAATTTCAAGATCACATAATAAATGAGCACGGCGTCAGGCCAGAACCTGAAAGGATGTCAAAGATGCTAAACTACCCCGCCCCCAAAAACCACAAGGATCTAAAGGGAAACCGATGGAAGTGGGATGAGCATAAACAGGCCGCGTTTGATAACTTGAGACTGCAATTTGCTTACAGCATCCAATTAATGCATCCTGATCAGGGTAATCCATTTTTAGAGTTTACTGACGCGGGTAGCAATGACATCATGGTTATCCTTACCCAAGCCAACATGATGGAAGTCAGAGGATCATTTTCAAGCCCCCCAGAGTCTTATCTGCAAAGGAATGGACGTGAGGGGTAGCAAGAATGAAGTGGTATGGACACTTGAAGCGAATGAGAGAAGGGCGGATAGCTCGACAAATATTGGATATGAGAGAGACTGACACAAGACCAAGGGGAAAACCACGAAGAAGGTAGGAGGAGCAGATAAACGACGAGTGATGGAGTGAGGTGCCCAGTGGCAGTTGGAGAAAGAAGAGTGGTGGAGGGAGAGGAAGAGATGGAGGAGCTTTACCAAGCGGACCTGGGCCCAGGCTGGAAACAGCAATGGATGATGATGATTAATCATATTGTATTGTTTTAATAAGTTTTGAAATTCCTTTGGAAGATGTAACGAAATTCATGGAGCAAACTTATTCTTGAGAAACTTGTACTCCGGTCAGACAAATACACAGCTTTGTAATATAATAAGTTAGGAAGTTGTTAGCCCCCTTCTTCATCCCTTTGTTAGAAGACTACGACCTATCGACTGTTGTCCATATTCTCAAGACGTGAAACACCATGGTGACAATGGGAACATTCGACATTTTGGAAAATGAGAGCAGTACTTAACTAATGTTTACTTACAGAGCAATAAATTTCTGCATCTGAAGATCGCTCGAATTCATAATGACATTAAGTCAAGGTGATACTGATTGCTTTAAAGAGTTTACATTTTCAAAATCCACTGTTAACAGAGAGGAAAGCCTGCATTAACAAATACAATGTGTAAATATGGGTTTTGTAGATTTTCAGAATAAACAGCGATAAGTTCCCTACATGGAATTAACCAGCTGATCATTGTTATGGACATGCTTTAGACGATAACATTTGAAAGTACAAATGTGCATGTCTATTTTTCTGAATATGCAGTCTTGTAACATACTGGGCTCGGGTGGGAATAAATAATGTGTTACGTTAACAACGTCTGAGGTAATGGGTCTTTATTGTGCGGTATTGCCTGAGTACCAGGCAGTGTGGCGGCATAAAGATTTTTGAGACCTGGCGTATGATCTGTTAAGCTGATACAGAATTTGACTTCGGTTCGGAAACACGCTATGAGTACCCCATTTCATTACAGATGTCACATTTTCTTTTATTCTTTATTATCTAAACTAAATTGAAGTTCATATTTTTGTGTACTTTGTGATAATATTCTGTACTTATACATCAAGTACTTAACAGTACCGTATAAAATATCATGAATAAATAAATACATCTGTTAACTGAAAGGATCGTCTTTGTCTATATGTCAGTTGTTAAGGGCGTACTTCCCCAGAAAGATTACAGAATTTCCCGGTATATCGGGGCAACTCAGCCAAACGTACTTTTGCAAAAAAAAAATTAAATCACACGTAGATCAGAAATAAATACAAAATTCACGTGTGTTGCCTTCGTAATGAAGTTTCTGTAAACGATGTTCATGAAGCAACAACATTTCATTTTCCCTTAAGGTGGCGCGATTACCCCCACTTCCCCTAATAAAACGAAGACGCTTTCGTAACTCGCAACATGTCGCCTCAAATGGATTTAGTGCAAGACACAAAGTCAAATTGCTATGTGTTCATGGATAATAATATTTTGGATACAATAAAACGTCTTTAAAATAATTTAGTGTTAACAAGACATTTTGAGTAGAAAGTAAACAGGAGAATTAATATTTCCGTCTTTGCCGCAAAAGATATTTCTGTTTATTTCTCTTCTTGGTTATTACATCAAATCCCCGTTTTCTTCATTATTTTCTTGAAGAACTTAATTAAAATTGACGTTGTAATAAAATGCTTGCTGCCACTGGGTTTCCTAAGCCAACAATTTTCTTACGTTTCCCCTTCACCAATTTGTCCCTGTGTTTGTAGACGTAATCTTTTGCATTCGGTAGGTTCTTCACGACACAAATTGACATCCCGTATCTGCAAACATTGCATTTTGTCGCCTGGTACCTGCAATTTGAGATATTAAAAATGAAAATAAAACCTTTTTCATCATTCATTAGTATTTTCTACACTCAAGACAATTTTTATTACAGTTCGCGGACTCAGTTACAGATAATATGTAGCTCTACATGAGATGAGGTAAGTCATGAAGAGATGCGTCTTCAACCACAAATAATTTACTTAATATAAATTTAACAGAAAAGTAATTTGAATGTCATTGCCATTACAAATACATATACTTTGTCTTTTGAACTTCTAAAATGAAATGTCTTGGCGTAAGAATGTCCATGCCTGATGGGCTGGCTCTCTCTTTCGTTCGAATGGAAAACTGCTTGAAGCTGCAGGCACAGGCTTCCACAAATAAATCGTTGCTTGTATTTTGTTTCCAGACAACCTTAACAAAAATTCCCCCAATGAGACTTCGGTGCACGATTCCCACGTGATCTTTCTTTTACTCATATACACAAAGAACACCGGCCAACATGCTATTATATCATAATATATTTTATTACATCGAAATTGAGGGAGAGGTTATGAATATTTTAAAACGTTGTCAAATGAATTATGTTCTGCGCTAGATATGTTTGCTATACTTCAGAATAACACTTCAATCACACATTCTTTGGAGAGAGACGCGTGTTTTGTTTGAGAACTGCGCCCATAACAGTATCTCCCCCTTTTAACAATTTGTTTTCAAAATTTAGTGGGTTTTTTCGTTGTTTTTTTTCGTTTTTTTCCCCCTGTCCTGCCAACAGTAGTTCTGAAAAGGTTCTGTTGGACGTAAAAGAGGCAAAAACCAAAAACAAATTAATTTCTGTGTGATTTCTCTGTTGCACAGACGAGTGTGAAGAAAGCAGTCTTCTGGGATGTTTGTGGAGCTGCTTACTGACTCCATCATGAGATGGCACAAGACTGCATTGAGAAATACGCCAAGAGACAGCCATTTTCAAATAAACTTCCATCAAAAAATGGGAATGTGAGACGGATGGGCGTTGTTAGATGTGAAACTAGCCTAACACTTTGATGAATGGTGATGCTGATGTGCTGAACGCCAGAAACGTCCTGCCCAAGAGAGTACCCCTGATCAAAGAAACTTACCCTAAGAGCTCTTACTAATGCAGTTACAGTTGACGTCCCACAGTTAACGTCTGATTAGCATTACCTAGTCATTTGCTCTCTGCTTTAACAATTTAATTTGACCGCAACATTGCCCAGCCTGCTTTCATTCAACACCCTCCTCTCATCCATTTTTCGCGTGCTGCATTCAATGCCCTGAATAAGCAGTTAGAACCTCTGAAACGTCGGTCAGTTTCCACGACACTACACGGTGCAGCACCCGCAAGATCGCGGTCATGTTAACCGGAAATGATTCACATCCCAGTGCTTTTAGAAAGTAA